AAAAAAAAAAAGGGGGGGGGGGGGGGGAATAAAAATGATGATTTTCTAACAGTTTTTGTAACAGATTGATTCATTTTTGCATGTTAACTGAAAACCTGAAGAAGGAAACAAATACGTGTACTGGAGCAAGAAGGTGGGGGCAAAACTAAAAAGCAAAAGTGAGAAAAAAAATGCATTTATTCATCATCAAATATATGCATTCAAGTGTTGTACTGAACTGCAGTATTGAAGTTGTTGTTTAGTCAATTTCAACATGAAGGCTGGTGAGGTTTATGATCTGAAATGATTACTACTTTACTTCTAGTAACCCTAACTAGCTGCATCTAAGAATTTAAGTCACGATTAATACATCAAACTCGCCCATATATATATATTTTATAGTATGAGTTCTCATTCGTACCGCAACTGATTTAATAAGTTAGTGGAGTATATGTTTTGTGCACGGAAAACTGTCTTAGATTTCTCAAATTTATGCCCCAATATTATTTATGTGTGCATCAAAAATGATCTTTCATATTGTGTCTGAATGTTCATTTTTCTTTTCTTATTACTTGTTTCAATAATAAGACAAAGGCAAAAATTACTTTTCATTCCATAATTACCTAAAATTACTAGAGTTGTGCGCTTCACCAGTGTTGAATCCGGGGTTTTGATGTTTATACGGTGATCGCCCACAAATGTTGGTCAATTAACCTCAATGTTAAGATCGGGAAAATCGAGTAGTGCGAAATTTAGCCAAACAACGTTATAATAATAATAACAAAGACAATGTAAGTTGATAATAACGGCAATTAAAAAAAATAAAGAAGACACAAATTTAACGTGGTTCGGTCAAGGTGACCTACGTCCACAAGCGGAAAGAAGCAATTTCGCTATACCAATAAGAGTATAAAAGAGAGTACAAAATTAGAGTAAATACTCTAATTACCAAATACCCCAAGAGAATAAACTCACAAAATCACTACAAAGAAATAGTTCATACAAGTGTTTTCCAACACTCACTCTCTTACAAAATACTCTATAATGAAATAAAGGAGGAGAAAGAAAGACAAGAGTGAAAAGCTCTTGAATTGGTGTGTTTTCAAATGAGGAGAAACTCCTCTATTTATAGCAAGAAATCATTGGCCTAATAATGGATATTATGTCATGGCAAATGTCATGATCCATAAATTTGTTATAATGGATATTATGTCATGACAAATGTCATGAAAATTTGGTCATATTAAAAATCTCCACCTTGGCCTAATTTTGGCTTATATATAGTAAATTTGCTCCACCTTCTCCGCAAAAAATCCAATGGGTAAAATCACTCTTCATAAATGTCAATCAAGTTCAGGCAAAAGCTTGAACTTGGACACTAGAAAAAGGTTTTGTAAACATGTCAGCAGGATTGTCTCTAGTGTTGATCTTCTGAACAGAGACTTTTCTTTCAGCAATGGTTTCTCGGATGAAATGATACTTTATATCAATGTGCTTCGTCCTCTCATGATACATTTGATCTTTAGTCAAGTGAATGGCACTTTGACTATCACAGAAAATGGTAATACCACTTAGGTGTAAACTGAGTTCCGCAAATAGACTCTTCAACCATAAAGCTTCTTTGATTGCCTCGGTCACTGCCATATATTCTGCTTCGGTAATAGATAAATCTACTACATGTTGTAATGTAGCTTTCCAACTAATAGCGCAACCACTGATGCAAAATACATAGCCTGTCAGTGATCTTCTTTTGTCAGGATCACCTGCATAATCTGAGTCTACAAAACCAACCAAAGTGTTAGTATTTCTCCCAAACTCCAAACATGTATTTGAAGTACCTCACAAGTATCTGAGAATCTATTTCACAGCATGCCAATGTGCTTTACCAGGGCAAGCCATATACCGGCTTACCACGCTCACTATTTGTGAAATGTCTGGATGTGTACAAATTATGGCATACATAATACTGCCGACTGCACTGGAATAAGGAACTTATGCCATGTACCTCTCTTCTTCCTCTGATTGCGGGGACTGAGCAGCTGATAACTTAAAACGAG